GACAAGCACTGTAGTGATGCTGAAGGACTTCTGGCCAAAGCTCATGTGTCTGAGAAAAGCTGGAATCAACGAGGTGTTTTTATTGTGGTGTATTTTCCAGAAAAATGCAACTGGAGGTGTTGAGAAGCTTCAGGGCAGCAAAGAAGAAGAATGGTGGTGCATATGGACACTAATTATTACGAGTTTTATTACCCTGGATAAAATCTGAGTCATTTATTGTTTAGTGTCTGCTAATGCCGTATTCTTAGATAATACACCCTTTAAGTAGTGTAGATCAGCTGTAGTTCCTGGTTGTTCCACCAGGTGTTGTCAACAGAATCTTGAAGCAACAGTTTAACTGAGTGTAACATGTTGGAAATGTTCCGCAGAATAAGGAATTGTGATGCATCTTCCGTCACAATGAAGCTGTAACAGGTGTATCTTGGCTACTTGGACACAAACTGTGGCGACTCCCAGCCTTAGATTTATCATCCAACACATTTCAAAGTAGGGACTCACTTAGAGCTTTGTGTGCAGGATTCGAGGACACAATTTGTGCATCGGTGCAACTGAGAGAACAGTTTTAAGTGTGTGTTAGGAGGTGAAGAGATTCCATGTTGTTGCAGTTCCCTGTCCCGCCCAGCAGAGGGCAGTAGAGGCTGCAGGATCCTCATCATCCCTCTCAATTCAAATTAGATCATGTTTGCATCTGTGCAGCTGTTTGCAAAAGTCTGATGTCAAAATAAATAAATAAACCCCTGCAGCAAACAAACATTAAACTTGGCCTTTCTTTAATGACAATTCTCCTGTTGCTGAGCTGTGTCATTGTAAAGTTTGCGAACTCATTTGTTGATAAATTTACGGTTTGTGAAAACACACAACCACCCCGGGGTCTGACAATGAGGTTAATTGACGCCTACAAAGCAGGAAGAGGCTATAAAAAGATATAAAAGCGCCTTCAAATCGCAATTTTCCACTGTTTTAAATGTCATTAAGAAGTGGCAGTAAAAAAGAAACTGTGGAAGTCATGACAAGATCTGGAAGTTGAAGTAAAAAACCCTCATATGGCTGCAAATGAGCTGCAGTTCCTTCCGTGCAGCACTGAAGCACAAACTGGGTCGTCAGGAAGCAGCTTTGCCTGAGAGTCCATCTCAAACGTCCCTGTCCGGAGTACGAAATGCAAAAACTTGGAAGCGAGTGGCAGATGGCTGAATTCGAGCTATCTGGAGGAAGAGGGGAGCAGAACTTGATGGGAAAAAAACATCTTTCTGAGTGTTCAGCATGGAGTTGTAAATATTTTACTTTTAGCCAGAAATACTGCACAGATGGAAGGAAAAATTCAGCTAAATATCGTCACATTCAGGATGGAAACGCTCTGCGGGCTGTCAAAAGACGTCTGGACGATGATATGAAGCAGAGCTTAGAACCTACTTCAAGAAACTTCAGTTCTTTGACTTAAAAAAACTCATTGAAATCTGTAAAAACTTTCAAGACTATAAAGAAAATGGCAGAAAATACACAAATGTAGCACAGAAAGACTCTCAGCTGGATGCAAAAAGCATTTACAAGCTGATTTCTGTTGAATGTTGTAACTACTGCTGCACTTAAAAGTATGTAAAATAAGCACCTAATGTGGAGGTTCTAGTCACACCTTCCTGCACCTTCTGCATGCACCTGTACCTGGAGCTGGAGCTGTTCGCTTCGCGGCGGAGACGTCGTGCAGATGTTTGTCAGAAACTCCTTCACCTCCACCTGGAATGCAGCTGTGAGAAAATGATAGTTCAGAAGCAGCCAGAGGTCGACGGCTTCAGTTAATCACACCGACGTCCTGAACTCTGACTAACATACAGTCGAGTTAAAGAGCTAATTGTAGGTCATTTCAGAAAACGCATGCGTCAAATTACAGCAGCAGAAAGTCATTATGTGCCACCTGAGGAGGTTTGGAAAGAAGAAGGAAAACAAATATTTACACCTGAGCACAGAGGAACAGATCAATGTGCTGTTTTCATTATTTTCAGGGACTGTTTTTGGTGTTTCATCTTCATTTTTATAGAAAATGTGGAGCAGAAAGGAGTCGACATGATGTTTGTGCAGGAACGAGATGTTTCACTGACACGATTCATTCAGTTTTTACAGGATTTTGCACCCGCATCATATTTTACTTGTCAGTTAAAAGTCAGTTTCTATTTTTCAGGTTTTATCGGAGCATCTGGCTGCAGCCGTTTTCACATGTTCAAATTGTAAGCCACAAGTCTCTCAGCAGCAAGGCTGGGTAGTAGCGGATTACATGTAACTGGGATGAGGTAATCAGATTACAAAAATGTAGTACTTATGGTCTGCTCAAGGTGCTCAGTTGTGTTGAGAAGTAATCTGATCAGCGTCCGGCTGTTGGATCTTAAAAATGTTTTGTTTTTAAAGGAATTAAAGGACTCTAAAAATCAGATTAGACCAAAATCAAACACTCAGGTTGTGTCGTTCTAAACTTTTTTTGTGTGATTGATATACCTGTGATCCAAAACAATAACTGAAATTTTTAAAAAATAAAAAATAAAAAAATAACAAATTAATGACCGATATTAGCAGGATATTGGTTCAATTAAAAAAAAAAAAAAATTACAGATTTTCCTTGTTTTAATAAATTACTGACAATAATTAATAAAATCACAGAAAAAAATTGTATTAATTTATTAATGTAACAGAAATTAATTAACAAAATGTAAAAAATTAAACTAAAAAAAAGCAAAAACTTTAAACAATGTCCAAATCATAAATTTGTAATTTTACAAGCGGTAATTTGAATGTAAAATTACTTTATTTTCCTCACTCAGCTTAAATCACAATAAAGAAATAGTTAATTTTTACAGATTTTCCCATATTTGTTCAAGTAAAGATACCTAGCAAAATCAAAGAAAAAATAAAGTATTTGTTTACATGTTGATCATAACAAAAAACTGACAAAAACTGTAACTAATGTTTATATTTTTTTAAAAACTGGACAATGTGCGTCACTAAAACTCCAAGATGAAGACAACATGGAAGCAGCTTGTAACTCTGAACATACAATAAAGAAAATATATGGAACCTGTGAACATGTCTCTTACCGATGAGTCCACATCAACACAAAAAATATCTAAAAACTGGAACCTTGTCTTGTCAGGTTCTACTGATGTTAGAGCCTCAACTGTTGGTGAAATGTCAACCAAAGACTGGGTTTTAATAGAAACATGGATCCATCCATAGACAGACACTTATAGGAACTTTCTGGGGATCAATGCCACCCTGATTTCTAGAAATTTTACACCTTTTTAGATTTTCAATGGCCAAAAGTTTTTTAAAAATCATTTAATCAATTGGATCTACTGGAAACTATTCTTTAAATTTCTGGAGATGCTGAACCTTTGAAATGGCTTCACAGGTAAAAGGTATGTTTGAGGGTGAATGTTGTGAA